TGAGAAACGTATTGATATTCATTGAACCACCTCTCACGCTCTTCCTCGCATCCAGTACTAACTTGTTTCTGCAGCCTGCATATTTTTGAGTGACCTTATTACTTTTTTTCAGAATCATCATATTTGCCTGATTATGTAATGCCATCTAATGAATATTTGTAGGATGCTATGGTGGTATGCCGCCTTCGAAAGAACAGTGAGTTCAATATAAATGATAATCCGGGAAGAGATTCTCTCGTTCAAAGTGATTTGTCTCCAGTAGACAATAGCACTACAGCTTTATCTGGAGTTGAACAATCGGGCATGGTTGAAGGGACCAAGACCGGTGACAACTTTTTAAAGGAGGGTAGTAGCAGTTATAACTCTCAGTCTGTAGAACAGATCGACTTTGGCTCTGAATCTGATGAGAAAGTAACGGAGTTCGATCAGCACAACTTTTCCAGCAACGAGAAGGTTTGTGGGGGCATATGTCATAATTTACATTTTCATCTCTGTTGGTAACTGCTTTATATCTGAATATCTACCTACATTAAAAATTGCCTGCTAAATATCAACTTTTAGCTGATTCCTATTGCTTGTCCTGCCCGGGCTCTAATCTGTCAATTTTTGTTTCAGGGCTGTGTTGAAGAAGAGGATTGTTATGCTGATATAATGAAAGACGATATAATAATGCTAGATGATTCTTCATTAAATGCTACTGCAGGTCTCTCTTCAGCTGTGTCTGCAAAACCCGAGCTTGACATGAGATCTGAACATCCGACTCAGGCTACTGTAACCACTACACATCCTTTCCAGGGAACAGCAAATCGACGACTCAGACTAAGGTGGCCAAAACCAGAACATCATCGAGTAGATTTCTTTGAAGCATCTAATAATGAAAAGGAGTACACTGGTGAGAATGTAGCTCACCGGCAGTCAGCACGTAGCCATTTTCCAATGACTAGAGTTAGGCCTTTGTCCTTAACCCTGTTTCTGGTTATATTAGTTTTTCTGGGGCTACTTCTGTTCTTTACTGGAAATTATTAGCAAATCGAGATGGTTAGTTATGGCTCCGGGTTTAAAAGATATACTAATTAACTGGTATGGTTTTCTTCCCGCGATCTTGAGGTAACGCTTAAATATAAGTTTTATCTCTGGTATGGTTTTCTTCCCGCGATCTTGAGGTAACGCTTAAATATAAGTTTTATCTAGTTTAAGCATGTAAGAGAGAGATCAGAATGTATACTGGAATGTAATGGTCTAATGGAGATATGCACAGTTTTATAATTTATAAATGTTTGCTTGAAATGGGCATGTAAGAGAGAGATCAGAATGTATACTGTAATGTAATGGAGATATGCACAGTTTTATAATTTATAAATGTTTGCTTGAAATGGATTCTGAACACATTTTATAGGTATAGACAATTTTTATTGGGACAGTGCAATATTCTTTTCCTCTTGCAGTTCTTGTCTCCCCTTCTTTTTTTTTTTTTTTATGTGGCAAATATGGTTTTAAGTTTATGTTGGTAAGCCTTCCTGAAGCCAAAGGGTGAAAAATTGTCGAAATATGTATGTTCTGTCAGCGTATGAATTGTTTTGATAGAAAATTTGATCCAAGATTTCATGTGCTACAGAATGTCGAAGTCACAATGTACCTCTTACTACAAGTTGTTAGCAAACAAGAAGTTCATTCATTCATATTATCTTCGACAGAACTTTCACTTTTTAAGCTGGATTTGTTCTCTCACAAAATAGGTACATAATTTTCATAAATGAACGGTGCTCAAATTTTGTTGCAATATCAAAATTTGGATAGAGAAAATGAAATATAAATATGAGTTTTGCTACATATACGTCGGGTTGATATTTCGATGTACACTCCACTCACATGAGGAATTCCAAATTTTTTTTATTGTCGTGGGGCTCATACCTTCATGTGAGGGGAGTGTATATCGGAGTGTCAAGTTTGGTGTACAAATGGCATTTTCCCATAAATATTCGGGCCTCTTTTTATTCCCAAATAGATCGAAAGGATTACACTTTACAATACATTTGTAAAATATTTGACTTATGACTAACCTGAACTATCTTTAGTCTTCTTAA